CTTGTGACTATCACTATCGAATTGGGGTCTTTATGTACCAGTTAGGGTTGTAATCTACTAAAAACTCTACACAACAAATCTATGATTCTGAGAAGTGCTTCTGGAATGATGCAAAATATAGTGAGATTTGCTCCAATTCAGATTCCTGCTCTTTGAACTCAGCAAAAGGAAGGAAGTGGAGCCAAGTGCTGCCGTTCAAAGACGCTTTTTTGTTTCTTCAACAACTGCGTCAAAAGACTCGGGGATGCCGAACACAATGACATGGGACATGCTCGAGAGGGCTCCTGCCGGAAGTAGAGCTCAACGTTGGCACGGAAGCAGAACAAGGGATATGGACATAAAGGGAAGCCATTTTTACTTTGGAAAAATGAACTAAAAAATTAAGGAATTCAGGGTTTATTATATTTTTTTCTTGGAATCTGGTTTTCGAATATATGGTAATCTTGTTCCGTCCAACGACAACCACTTTTGCGCACCAGTAGATAGCCTTCGTAAGCACCCCTGAGCCAGCTCCTGGGGTTCGTGTTTAGATCAAAGAGGTGCACTTGGCCCGCCCCTGTTGTGCTGCGGCCTCAGTAGTCGGTTATTTTCAGGGCTCGGTGGCCAGTGGTTCTCTAAAAGTAATGCCATCCGGTCTATATGAATCTATCGGTGCATAACGGATTGCTCCCTCAAAACTAATGGCACTAACTAATGGAGCCGTATGGAGTTCCTACCACAAACGTTTTTCTCTATTAGATAATCAATAAGTCAATCGGCTGGTAAACACTCGATAACTACTTTGTATTATTTTCTGTGATTGGCCAATGAATAAATAAATAATAAATAAATAGAGAGGACCCTCAGTGAAAGAGATCCGTGCTAACATATCCGTATCCGTGATAACACGAACATGTAGATAAAAAAGAATATTAGAAGTGAGTACAAAGCTACTCGTGTGGCAAGATATGTGTTTTTACCGAAACAACCACGTCCAAAATAATTTTGAAATCACTAAAGCAAAAGTAAGTGAAACTTGCCTTTTCAATGCTGTAACACATCATTCGACCGCACTTTCACATGTGTACCTTCCAATAAGTTTGACACACCGAATATCAGTGAAAACATTTTGTCGCATCGAAGTATTGCGTATTTAAAGCTCAAAATCCACAGATTTGTTGTGAGGCGGCGGCGCTCGCAGAACGCTCTGGTCCCACGCGGCCAAAAATGCCAAAACGCGCGATGTCGTCAACGTGTTAAGCGATTGCAGCATAGCGGTTACGGTGGATTTGCCCTTTTGAAATCTGTGCTGATAACATTGAACTGATTCAGGTGCGTCACAATCCTCTGCTTTAGGACTTTTGCAAAAACTCTGGCGAAGATCGATGTTATGCTTACAAGCCTGTAATTGCTTGGGCTTCAGTGAGGTAAATTTTTTGGAATTGGATTTACAAGCAAAATGCGCCACCTATCTGGCACCTCAGCGTTCATGAAACTGAAATTGAAAATGAACGTGAGTGGACCAGAGATAATGTGCGCTACCTTTTGTATGGAGCTGAAGGATATGATCAGGTGTATCCGAGTGAG